TGAACTCTAGGCCTGGGTACTGTCCCTCAAATCTTCAGCTAAAGGCAAGCACCACTTCCATTTTCCTGAGTGGTTTATTTGAGATAAGAGTCCTCACTGACTTTCCTGCCTGGGCTGGTTTTGAATTGCAATCCTCAGATCTCAGCTCCTGAGTAGTTAGGATTACAGGTGTGAGCTACTGGTGCCTGGTTTGACCATATCACTATTAAGCCTGGAAATTAACAGGAATTATTGATACTGCTTTTCTAAGCTCAGTGTATTTTATTTGATTTTTATTAATATTTGACTTTGCAGTGTCAGGAGTCTTAACATTTTGCCTTTATTTATCCATATTCAATTGTGTAGACTTTTTTTTTATCTTTGATTCCTCAAGTAGTAAATAGAAATGGGGGTAGGAAAACAGAAATAAGTACTTTAAAAGAAACTTTTCTTTGACCCTAATGGAAAATTGAAATTCCCTCCTCTGGTGATTTTAGAAATTTTATTTAATATGTCTCCCAAATATTTTCATTAAAATGCAAGATTCCCTATGATCTTCAATTGCCGGAAACAAGTCCTAAAAACAGGTTTATTTGAGAATGGAGCATACACCTCCCCATTTATAGTATTCTTTAAATTCAGTGAGCAAAAAAAAAAAGTTCAGTGAGCAATAAACAGAACACCCACAAATATAATCTTCGAAATAAAGTGGGTTTCTGAAATATTAAGTCTGACGTAACCAAGGAAAAATTGCAAATAGAAATTTCATTTCCTCTCCTCAACACAAACTTACATAAATACAGAAAGAAATTACTCTTGTGGTGGGACTGTTTTCCTAAAAAGCTTAGGACACTAATCACCCAGAACTAAGACCCTTATATTTTCAAAATAGATCCGATTGTAATTCAAGTGACTAGAAACTGATTTGGACTAGTTTCACATGACCTTATTAGAATTTTTGTGCTTGAGCAGGTCAGTATAATAGAGGTATAAACATGAAATAATAACACAGAAGGAAAGTTTGTAAAGAGGATTTTAGAAGTACCTCTTGGGCCTTCGAAGGGAAATAGGGATGAGCTTAAAAGGTCATCATTAAAATCTTGCTAGGGAAACCTTAGCATTCAGTGTTAAGCTGTGAAACCACATTACTGAAATGTAGCCTGCAGCATTCAGCTGGCATTTAGCCGGGAACTGGTGGAATCAGTATTTTGAATTGAATTTTATCTAATATGTGTGGTGAAGCCGAACAGCAGTGTGTTTCATAGATCGAAAACGAGAATTCACTAGGCTATTAAAAACATGTCTCTATTCACTAGTGGTATTCATCAGTTTTGAGGTACACTGAGTTTTTACTATGCTGATGATACCTGAATTATTTTCTTCTGTACTTACAATGAGCCCATCAAATAGGTTGTCACTTTCCAGAGGAGGAAAACAAAGGTCAGAGAGGTTTAATTTTTGCCTCAGTGACAAAACCAGGTTGCGAAATTAGCCCATTTCTTATCTTTTTTCTAATGTCACCAAATAGACTTGTGTTTTAGAACTTGACTTCTCAACATTCAGATCAACTTGTTATTTTGAGACAAGATCTCACTGTCCAAACAGGTCCTCACAAATAGAAAACGTCTTAATGTATATATTGTTTTGTGCTGGTACTGGGGCTTGAACTCAGAGCCTCACACTCTCTTGGTTAGCTTTTCTTTTTTTCCTCAAAGTTGATGCTCTACCATTTGAGCCACCCCTTTACTTCTAGCTTTTTGCTACTTAATTGGAGAGAAGAGTCTTATGGATTTTTTGAGCCAGGACTGGCTTTGAACTGGGATCCTCAAATGTCAGCCTCCTGAGTAGTTAGGACTACAGGCAGGAACCACCAGTGTGCCTGGCAGTTTTTATTTTTTTAAATGGTTGGGAAAAACACATCAAAATACAAATCATAACTGTGACATGAAAATTATCAGGAATTCTTGGGAAGTAGAGGCTAATGTAAACGATAAACTTTGTCCATTCATGTGTACAATGTTTGGTGATTGTTAACAAAGATAGCAATCTGCGTTGAGGGTGTAGGGGCACGTGGGAAGTCTCTGTATATTCTGCTCGATGTTGCTGTGAACCTAAAGCTGTCTAACAGGCTATTAAAATATATACAAAATTCAAATTCAGTGTCCATAAATAAAGTTTTACTGTCACACAGTGACATCCATTTTTTTGTATTGGACCCATGGCTATTTTTACCCTATAAGGGTAGAACTGAGCAGTTAAGACCAAGAGGCTTGAAAAGACAGGAATTTTTCTATCTGGAGAAAACTTCTGATCTTCAGTCCATTGTATCTGGTGGATGACTGTGACCCTGGAGTCAGACTTCAAAGTTCCTAATCCTCCTGCTTCTTCCTTCTAGGTTGTGAGATAAACATGCTTAATCTTTTTTATTGTTGCTGTTGCTGCTGTTGGCTTGAACTCAGGGCGGCTCTGTCCCTGAGCCTCTTTTGCTCAAGGATAACTAACGTTCTACCACTTTGAGCCACAGCGCCACTTCCGGGTTTTGAGTGGTTAATTGGAGATAAGAGTCTCAAGGGGACTTTTCTTTCTGCTTGGGCTGGCTTCAAACCACAATCCTCAGATCTCAGCCTCCTGAATAGTTAGGATTACAGGTGTGAGCCACTGGTGCCTGGATCATCTTTTAAAGCGGGGATAATAAGTGATTATTTGCAGTACCATTTTACACATAAAGCATCAAATAAATATATGTTAAGTAATACTTTATTGTCATCTTGAGATTCTGCTTTCCTTTAAAGACCTTCCTTTTTAGAATCTGGATTTTTTTTACAGCTACTTAAATTTGCTTTACTTATGTGTAGGACACATTTGTCTTCCCAGATTCCCCCTCTTTATCTACCAGGAGTTCTAACATGACATGGTTAGGTTCCTTGCTTCTATTTTGCCATCCAGTTTGTTCTTCTCAGTATTAGCTCCAGGGTAGTAGTTAGTTATAGCCTTAGCTTTCAAAATGAAACATGCCAGCATAGCAAGTCAAGAACTGATTTGCCTTTTCCAACACCTAATTTGGCTTTACAAACTGCCACCGATGCATTTTTAGGTATCTGTGCCATTAGCCAGACGTTTCCATTATTCCCCAATTCATATAAAGCAACCCCAAATTCTATATTGTTTTTTTTTTTGTCAGTCGTGGGGCTTGAACTCTGGGCCTGGGTGCTGTCCCTCAGCTCTTCAGCTCAAGGCAAGCGCTCTACCACTTGAGCTACAGCGCCACTTCCGGTTTTCTAGTGGTTTATTGGAGATAGGAGTCTCACAGTCTTTCCTGCCTGGGCTGGCTTTGAACCGCGATTCTCAGATCTCAGCCTCCTGAGTAGCTAGGATTACAGGCGTGAGCCACCGGTGCCTGGCTCCAAATTCTATATTGTTATCTCAGCTTATCGCACATGAAACCACTAAATGACTTTGTGAAAAATGTGATCGAGTCACTGTTGTATTTTTTTTTAAGATTCTTATACTGAAGGGAGAAAAACCCCCACAAAACGTTAAGACTATTAACCAAGGCCAAAAGGTGCCCATTCATAAACCCCATAACAAGCCTCCATTGTTTTAATAAAAGATATTTAAATTCAACTAACCACTTTTGAGCAAACATGATGACAGAGATAGAGAACTTTATGTTCTCTTTCTGTTTCTGGACACACAACCTTTTTTCCACTCACATACCAGCTTTAGCAGTCAAAACAATGAGTCAGTCTTAGAACTTTCCAATTCGTTAGCACTAACTAGCTGTTCGCTCTGGGCACATGATTTTATTTTTCTTGGGGGCAGTTTCTGATTTTGTTCAGTAAGAATGGTACTAGCTGCCTGACTGAGTCGTGTGGGGAGCGAAGGAAGTAATCCATGGGAAGAATTTAGCGTGTGTGAGATCCATAATGCTCTCCTTGCTTTTATGACTTTTGTCAATCCCATAAAATGCATTCAGAAGCAATTTTCACTCCAGCTCAATCCTGGAAAATTAAAGAGATTCGGTTGCTACCTGCTGAAAATCCTTGCTTATTAGTGTCAAGGTAAAGGCCAGCTGTGTGTGTCCCCTCCCTCCACTTCCCTCCTCTCCCCCTCATGCAGATGGAGAAGCTGTGTGAATGGCCTCTATGTTACTGGGTTGCTGGGTTGCTGGGAATGCGTCCTTAGCAAATAGGACATTTTCTTGAGAGTTTAGACAGAGCTCACAGCTTGCTCTCTCCAGATTTCTTGTTGCTATTCACTATTCGTTTTTCAGAACTAAGGTAACAATCTCAGATGTAGTCCAAAAAACCAGGGCAACTCTCAACAAAACTTTTTTGGGTACAGAATTTAAACTGGCCTTCTCTCAGGGTGGTTAGAAGGTCTTAACACTCAAGTTTTTTTCTTCCTATCTGCTATATCATGAGAAAGTTTGATTTTACTGTGGGGTGGGAGGGGGAACAAGTAAACTGTAAAGATATGGGCATTTGTCTAAATAATATAAAAGGGAAAGTTTAGAATGAGAAAGAGAAAAAGTTGGCCTGGTGGAATTTTATTAAACTCTCTTGAGATGCATGCCCAGGGTTTGAGGCCTATACTCCCGTGACTTTTTATTTGCTGCTTTTCTTTTTGGTGTTTTAATAGGTAATCGCAATAGGTAGCCCAGACCAGCCCCAAACTCACTATGGTGGCCCAGGCTGGCTTTGGATGTGTGATCCTCCTTCCTACCTCTGCCTGATGAGTGCTGGAATTACTGCTTCCAGGGAGTCTCAAAGTAGAGGAGGCCTCAATCAAATGCTCTACCCACATGTCCAAAGCAAGGGTGGCTGGGCGGGGCGGGGGGGGCTTTTTAGGGTTTTATTGGGTTTTGCTTGCCCTTAATTGAGCTTCTGAATCTGGAGCCACGTCTCCGGAAGTTAAGTAACTCTGTCCTGTCTATTCCACCAGAGTCCTGTGTTCAAAACTTGAATCTAGGGCAGGAGGGGTGCCGGAGCACGGTTGTGGTTGGAGCAGGACTTGGTAATGAACCACTAGGACGGTGATCTGAGCTCTGGGCACAGTGCAGACACCTGAAGACCATGTCTTGCAGTGATGCAACGAGGGCGTTGGCTAGAGGTGAGTCCCGGGTCCCTGGGCTGGAGTGAGTGGGAGCATCAGAAAGGGATGTTGATTATCTGACTTCAGCCTGTAGATTAGCAAAACAAGGAATGAGTTAGAGGGCTTCCCTGTACACACTATGTACAAAAGTGTCCTGCCTAGGACTTGGGAAGTGGAATGCCAGAATGCTGCTGGACTCTCTGGGAGGTGAATGAGACCCTCTCTCTATGGGGCTAACCCAGCCTCTCTATCCCTACCCTTACAGGATCCTGTCCCCCAGGGCCAGTCCCAGAAGGTGTGATCCGAATTTACAGCATGAGGTTCTGTCCCTACTCCCACAGGACTCGCCTGGTCCTCAGGGCCAAAGGTATCAGGTGAGGAGTTGAAGTGCTGCTCTAGCAAGCCCACACTCCAGATTGTGGGAAAGGGTCTCATTTTCTTTCTTCCAAGGCCAACTCAATAAATAACAAAGGATTTTTCCCCCACCTCCTGAAATGCAGACCTCTTTTCAGAGTTGTATCTATCCATGAAGCTTTCATTGTGGAGAAAACTAAATGATGACATTGGTGAACTGCTTCCCTCTTTCCCTTCCCCAAAATCTTGTTTAGGATGGTCACAGCCAAAGCTTCCGACCGCTTCTTCTAATAGAGACCCCTTTCCACCACCCTGGGCATCTTAACACAGCTCTGTCCTATTTTTTTTCCCATTGCTCTACTGCCCCCAACAGATGCTGATTAGTCCCCTGTCTTTCTCCTACACCTGTCCCCTCAACATCCCATCCCCGCCCCCATTCCACCCCCACTCCTGCCAAAAATATGAATTCTCCAAGGCAGGGACTTTTTCTGTTTTGTTCACAGACTAGGAGAGAGCATATGACCTAGGAGCTACTCAAAAAAATTGTTAGATGAACGAATCGTTCCAAACACTACAATACAATAACATGCACTGCTGTCAAGAGGTGTCAGGAAGTTTCCAACATACCTGAGAAGTGAGCACAAAATTCCTTCCTTCCAGAAGGAACTGGAAGGCTAGCTCCTGCAGGTCTAGATTTCGAAAGCAGAACAGATTTGTTGGCATCTGGACTACAGAATACAGCTGAGCTGAGATGGAAGTACATTTGAGAATGTGTCATTGTGACTCTGGTCTTGGAGAGTTCATCATTAACAGTTGCTTCAGAGTCAGACTCATGTCAGAGAAGAGACACCACAATAGAGATATTTTAAATAAAGCTATTTTAATTCTGCCTTGTTCAAATCTACTTGGCTGTGCGGTTGGTTACCAATTTTTTAAAGAGAAAAATAACAATAGCCCTATTTGGTTGACCATTTAGGGACAAAGTAGCAGCTTAGGAACTGATGAGATTATTTCTTTAGCCCAGATAATTCTTTGGACCAGATAATTCTTTGTTGGGTGGGAAAGGGGCTGCCTGCACAATGTTTCAGATTTCCCAGTATGAAGTGGGTGAATTCTATGCTACCCCCAGCTGTGACCCAAAAAATGTCTCAAGACATTGTCATATCTTCCTTGGGTAGGGGGAGGGGAGATAACAGTCACTTAAAGTCCACTGCTTTTAAGACAATCGCTGAGATTAAGCAAAGAACCTATCTATCTGTTTCCTTTAGTCTTTTTAATCAGTGTGTATATGTGTGTCTCTAATAACTTTATAGACTTGAACCTCTAGCAATGGTAATTATTAATGAGAATTGGCAAATATGGTGTACTTATTACATTTGAATATACTGCATAATCCCAAATACTTTACACACACTAACTTATTTGATTACCAAAAACATGCCAAGAGATAAGCACAATTATTGCCTCCCCCTTGCTTTATGGAGACATAAAGCAATCTGGCTAAAGTGTCAAACTAGACTGCCTAGCTGGATGTCAGACCCTGTGCTCAGACCTTAATATGTACCCTATTCTGAAGGCTGGGTATATGGCTCAAGTGATAGAGTACTTGCCTAACAAGAGTGAGGTCCTGACTTCAAATTTGAGTACCTAGCATTAAAAAAGGAAAAGAAAACATATTTATCATATTTTTTAGTGACTGGTAATGCTAGATTTGTATTTATATTGTTGTTATTATTCTTGTTTTTGAGACAGTCTTTCTTTGTATCCCAGTCTGGCCTCCAACTCCAGATCACCTTGCCTCCCTTTCAAGAGTGCTAGGATTTTATGTACTACCATGCCTGGCTAGCTTTGTATTTCCAACCTTTAGGATGTCCTAATGCTCTAATGCCATTGTGACATGTCTGTCTGGGCCTGACTTTGGCTCTGCTGCTTCTCAGCAAAAAGTATTGGACATGGAAGGAATGACATGGGCATAATAGAAAACAAGTCATAGAAAACATCTAACACCTCTTATTGCAGGAATGAAGACAATGATGCCATATATTCTACACAAAACTTAAACTTTAGGGAAAAAGCAATATAATTACAAGTCTGTCTGTCTGTCTTTCTTTCTTTCTTTCTTTCTTTCTTCCTTTCTTTCTTTCTTTCTTTCTCTCTCTCTCTTTCTTTCTTTCTTTCTTTCTTTCTTTCTTTCTTTCCTTTCTTTCTTTCTTTCTTTCTTTCTTTCTTTCTTTCTTTCTTTCTTTCTTTCTTTCTTTCTTTCTTTCTTTCTTGTGTTCCTAGGGCTTGAACACTGGGCCTGAGCTTTGGTGCTCAAGGGTAATGCTCTACCACTTGATCCACCATGTCACTTCTGTATTTCTCTGAGATTAGTTGGTGTCTCATGGACTTTTCTGCCCAGACAGGCTTTGAACCATGATCCTTGGATCTCAGCCTTCTGTAGCTAAGATACAGATGTGAACCACGGGCACCGGCCAGAAATCTTAACTTTATCAATTGTCTGCTTTTGTTCGGAAGATGAGTATCCGTCTGCTTATGTTCCCTTCTCATTTTTATTTCTTCGTTTCCTTGCTTCTTCAGACATGAAATTATCAATATTAACCTGAGAAACAAGCCTGACTGGTACTACACAAAACACCCTTTTGGCCAAGTTCCTGTGGTGGAGAACAGCAGTTGTCAGTTGGTCTATGAATCAGCCATCGCGTGTGAATACCTGGATGACGCGTTCCCGGGAAGAAAGCTGTTTCCATATGACCCTTATGAACGAGCTCGCCAAAAGATGTTATTAGAGCTATTTGGTAAGGTATGTACAATCATAAGGATTCACTTGCATTCCATTTTACTTGGTGTGTTTTTCCTAAATTTCCACCCATTCTGATGCCCCAAGAGTCTCAACAGAATAAGCTGGCAGAGGAGTGGAATAGGATATGACTACTCCAGCCAGGCTTGGAGGCCTAACAAACTGTTCCATGCTTTTCCATTTCAACTAGCATTGACAGGAGGCGTGGTTAACCCCATGAAATGACCATGAGACTTGAAAGGGGAATGTTGTGAATACAGAGCTTCTTTAAAGGGAGTACTTTTCAGGCTTTTGATACAAAATATTGGAGTGTGGAGATTGCGCACAGCGGGGAGATTGCCTTCAGGAAGCAGGGCAAGAGAACCAGCTCTTTAGGGAATATGAAGAACAGAGAAAAGGGGAGCAGTGATGGAAAAAGTGACAGAGAAACATTAGAAAAGAAAATAGCATGATGTTATTAATAGCTGATGCATATCGAGTGCTTAGGGTGTGCCCAGCACTGCCCTGAATTCTATCCAGAAGAGAACTCACTTCCTCCCATGGCTACCGTTTGACGTGGGACACTATTACCATATCCATTTTTCAGATGCGTACATGGAGGCTTAGAGAGGTTAAATGCCCTGACTATGAATGTACAGCCTAGAAGCAGCTAATCAAGGAAGAAGCGCCACAAACCCTTGATAGAGCCCCTGGTTTGCTGCAAGATGTAGCAGCACCTAGACAACCGTGTACCCACCCAGGGAGGTGGGCATCTGTGTGTGTGTGCTGGCTTGTTAGGCTGGAGGCATAAAGCTCTTCACCTCTCTAGGCAGAGCAGGACCATGGAGTCCCCACAGAAGTCTCTACTAAGCACCCGTGTCTTTGATTAGGTCCCACATTTGACCAAGGAGTGTCTGGTGGCGTTGAGGTGCGGGAGAGAATGTGCCGAGCTGAAGGGGGCCCTGCGACAGGAATTCTGCAACCTGGAAGAGGTACAAAAAGGGGGCTCCCCTTCTCTTGTTGGGTGGAAGGGACTGAGCCGTGCAGGGTTTCTAACTTATGGTCACTCTCACACCTGCTCTCAGAGCATAATCTTTCTGGTTTGGGGATTTTGGAAGATCTGGCAAAGAGGGGGAACCGGACCTGAAATGAATGTTGCTTCTTCCCAGTTATCACATTCCCTAATTGTCTTTGTGTGGCTTCTGTAGCTTTTGTCCACAAGGCTTGAGTTACTGGTGAAGGGCCTTGTGGGATCTAACTGCTGTAAATTTCTCTTCTAAGGGCTTAATTTCTCCTGTAGAAAAGGGCAGAGGTGGGCAGCTCAGGGGCTTTCTTTGATGGCTTTCTTGTGAAGTTACCCGAGACTGAGGCTTTTTCTCTATGGGTTCTGTCATCTTTGGTACACAGCATCCTTAAAATGACAAAATAGGGCTGGGGGGGGTATGGCACAAGTGGTGGAGTGCTTGCCTATTATGCCCTAAATTCAAAGCCTAGTACTCCCCCTCTCCCCCCCAAGGAAAAAAAAGACAACATAGATTCTGGAACTGTAGCCACCAAGCTATGATTTCCTTGTTTCAGGCTGTAGGTTGTGGAAAGGAGAACAGAACACAACCTGACCAGAATTTAGTTGTAGAGACATACTATCCGCAGAGAAGGTTGGGAAATTTGTTTCCTAGTTGGGACACCCTGAATAAAATCAGCTTGTGAGGTGGAGAGGAGGTCACCTGGTTCTTGACCAACATGGTAGCAATAGGAACTTACTTACTCCTTACTCTGGAACTATCTGGAAAAGATCTTGGACTTTATCTTTGTTCCAGAAAGTGATAAATTGCTTTTTTGTATAGATTATTGTCCCTCCCTTGGAAGCTGGTAAGATTAGGATGATAATCAGTAGATTGGTGGGTAGTATACATTTCACAACTCTTTGAAAAAAAAGGTGTTGGGTATTATTTATTTATTTATTTTTTTGCCAGTTGTGGGGCTTGAATTCTGGACCTAGGTGCTGTCCCTGAGCTCAAGGAAAGCACTCTATCACTTAAGCTACAGCACCACTCCCAGTTTTCTGGTGGTTAATTGGAGATAGGAGTCTCATGGACTTTTCTACCAGGGCTGGCTTTGAACTGTGATCCTCAGATCTCAGCCTCCTGAGTAGTTAGAATTACAGACTCCAGGCGTGAGCCACTGGCACCTGGCTGTTTTCCTGTTTGTTTTTGCTTTTGTTTTAAAATAAAGAGTCTTGAGCCAGGCATTTTGGCTTATGCCTATAACCCTAGCTACTCCACAGGCTGGGATCTGAGGATCATGGTTTGAAGCCAACCTGGACAGGAGAGTCTGTGAGATTCTTATCTCTAAAAGCTACTCAGAAAAAGCCGAAAGTGCTGCCATGGCTCAGGTGGTAGAACACTAGCCTTGAGCACAGAGAGGCTGAAGGGCAGCATGCAGGCCTTGGGTTTAAGCCCCAGGACTGGCAAAAAAAGTCTTAATTTGTAGTTTGTGGGTTTCAGTGGTATATGATCTTCCACCAACACTGGTTTTCGGTTGCCAACCTGCTATCTCTAAACTCAGAGATGTGGACCATGGGTCATATTCTGCACAGGAATTAATAGCACATTTCACCATTTCTGTTAACAGAGGCCCAGGGACACCTCTGTTAACCTGCCCAGGTTTGGATGGCCATCACAGATGCCATTTAGGCATTGAATATTAGGCATTGTCCCAACAGGTTTCAATGTGGCTTTGTCCCATAGATGTAAACAAGAGTGTTAACTCTTTGCTAATATGTACTCAACATCAGAAAACATACCCATGGACTTGAATTATTGATTATGTGAATACCAATATACTGACTCTAGAAGGTTCTAGTGAAATTGAAACTTAAATAACTCTTTCACTGGGTTTTATACAATCAGGATTTTATCTGAGCTGAAAGCACATTGTATACATGTGGTCCCACTGAAACCAAGATTCCAGTGCATGAGTTGCCATATTATAGCTGAGCAAAAGGCTCAGTTTACATTTTGTAGCCTTAAACTTGGATACTTTTTTCCCTTTTGAAAATAAGTGTCCTAATGGACTTCTGACATTTTTTCTTTTAAAATACAGTTTCATTCAGGTTGAGCGCTTCTTTATAGACACATTTTCTACACTATATTTAATACTTTTTTGAGCTCTGTAGTGTTATTTAACCAGCAACCTGCTCACTTAAGTTTTTTGATTTGAACATTGTGTTTTCAAAAAGTTGGGATGCCCTGGTCTAACCATACTTTGAAATCTCTCTGCAGTCAAATCCTGCCCTGTTTGGGGAAAAGTTACTTTCTAGACTTGGCCAGACTTCTCAGCAAGTGGAGTTTTCATCTTCCTATGACCTGAGATTTGAAATCTTGAGGGCCTCCACTGATCTTTTATGAACTCAAAAATATTTCTGCTCAGGGATGAACACTTTGCTGATGTTTCTGAATAAAGTCTTGTATTATTATGTAGTGCTTGCACAGGCAGGTGGCTTTGTGTCTTTTTTGTAGGGTTGGTGGCAGGTCAGGGGGGGTTCTACTTCAAAATAATTCTACAAAGATTTACTTCCAAGAAGAAAAAAAATACTGTCTCCCTTCTCCATTATGTGCAACGGTGCCATTTGGAAGCTAGAGTTTGGAGGCCAGGGATTCTTTGGTGGTCATGTAAGCCTTGGTGGTGAAGACCAGGCAGGTGATAGGTACAAAGTTTGAAGTTCAATTATTGAGGCTGAACCTGAGCGTCAGAGACCTTAGATGGAGACTTTGAAAATTCCTGAAGAATTACTAATCTTGCTTTTCCTAGATTTCTTTTTCTTTCTCTTGAATCTCATGGAGGTAGCTATGCCATTGCGCCTTGCAATCATGACCACCAGAGGGAGCCATGGGTACTTCTTCTGTCTGCCCACCTATGCCACTCTAAGTCCTGATTTTCTTCTTTTATCCTTCTGGGGGAGCCAGATAGGGCCTGGAGGAAGAACAGAGGCTTTTCAAGGTCAGGGCAAGAAACAGCATTTCTTCATCATAAAGTAGTCCCTCCTTTATTGGCATTGTTCAGGTCACATGTGTAGGTATTATTTTTCAGAGACTTAGAAAACAACATTTTAAAATAGATTTTCCTAATATTGCAAAACATAAAATGCCTTTCTGCCTGTCTGCCTGCCTTTCTTTCTTCCTTCCTTTCTTTTCTCTCTCTTTCTTTCTCTCTCCTCCCTCCCTCCCTCCCTCCCTTCCTCCCTCCCTCCCTTCCTCCCTTCCTTCCTTCCTTCCCCTTCCTTCCTTTCTTCCTTACATTTACTTTGCTATATCTAGGATTACAGTAAATGTCCAAATTGATTTGCTTGGACCAGGAATTTTCAGAACACTCCTGCTTTGTAAGCACAAGAGTTACAAAGATGTCCTGGAACCCATTGGTTTAGCCTTGGCTCTCCTTGTGTGGTGAAGGCCAATATCAAGCTTCAGGCATATATTCCAAGGTCAGTGATAAAAGTTTGGATAATTACATTGGTTCCTGACTATAACCGACATTTAGAGCTATGAGGATCCATAAAGACTGAATTATTTGTTTCTTTCCCCCCTTTAAAAATAAGACTGAAAAACAGCCACTGTGTTGGGTTAAATCTTTCTCTTTTAATATGATCCTGTTAGTTTCTTTGAACATAGTGATACCACTTGAGCCACAGCTCCACTTTCAGCTTTTTGGTGGTTAACTGGAGATAAGGGTTTCCTGGACTTTCTTGCCTGGATTGGCCTTGAACCATAGTCCTCAGATCTCAGCCTCTGAAGTAGTTAGGATTATACATATAAGCCATTAGTGCCTAGAGGGCGACCATTGTGGGAAACATGAAGACTTAGACTAGGACAACAAACAAGCTTTCTCCTCTAAGGAGGGGTGGCAAGCTGATAAGTTTGATGATCCCTTGGACTTGCTTTTACAGATGCAGCCTTCAGGGATCTTTGAGTCTTTCACTCATCACAAGAGCACATACCGAGTAGGACCAGACTGTCTCGGGCATGATTCTATTTCTTTGTGTCAGGACCTCTGAGATGGGCACGTTGCCACAGTCTTGCAGATGAGAACACTAAGGTGTGGAGGAGGAGGGAGAGGAAAAGCAAGTTGCCCTGGATTTGATGTTGAATCTGAGGTGAAGTTCAGCAAGGCTGGGGTCTGCTGGCTCCAGAGCTCCCCTTCTTGATTACAAAAGCCAAGATCATATTCTAGCCCAAGAGAACAAGCATGTGTGGAGTGTGTCCTTTGCTAGTGCCATTTCTACCCAGCAACCTAATTACAGGTGGACTCAGTAAACCTCTGTCTCCTGCCAGAGCCCTGGCCTATTATAGTAGCCTACCTTCTCAATACCTGGGCCAGCAATGCACATCTGCAGTGAGGGGGAGGTGGACACAAGAAGTTGGCTTCACTTGACTAGGTAATTCACACCACACTTTTCTTTTGGAGAAGATCTGGCTCTACAATGATTTTTCTATCATCTCTTTTTCTCTCAGGGACTTTGTGTTGGCTGTCTTTGGCTTTCAGGCTGTTGAAAGAATATCTATTTTTATTATAGTCCATCTATGTACCTTAGTTAATTTGTACCATTTGAGAATGAGAAGTTTTATTTTAATGTAAAAAGTATGATGAGGTTGACTGCCAAAAGTGGAATATTTGATGAATTCAAGGGAAAGAAAAAGATGTGATAGAAAAATAATGCTGGGATTTAGGAGGCTGGGATTTGAATAGTACTTGCTGCTCTGTCTTGCCTTACCTTTGTACTAGTTTAAAAAAATAATCAAGCTGGGCACCAGTGTCTTACGCCTATAAACCTAGCTACTCAGGAGATCTGCGCCTCCAGGCTTGAAGCTAGCCTGGGCAAAAAAGTGTGAGACTCTTATGTCCAATTAATCGCAGAAAAACTGGAAGTGGTGCTCTGGCTCAAGTGGTAGAATGCTAGCCTTGAGCAAAAAAAAAGGAGCTCAGGGACAGCACCCAGGCCCAGAGTTCAAGCCCCGTGACTGGCTACAAACAATCAATAAATCAGAAACCTTAGATATACAGAGAATACAGTATCCTCTTTATTACTGAGAATGTGGGTCACAACTATAGCAAGTGGGGTTCTTAATGCTGGCCTTTGGGATCAGGCTGGGACATCCACAGACAGAAGTCATGGGCAGTGCTGGCCTGGGGCAGGACCATCTACTCCAGGTTGAGCTGATCCACAGAGAGCCTTATGCAGGGTGCATGGAGGAAGCTGAGGAGGGGGTAGGCTACTTCTGTCTCAGTGTCCTTCAAATTCTTCAGTCAGATGAGTCACATGTTCATGAGACAGGAGAAAGGAAGGACAGGATGTCATCAGGAGTATGACCCTAATCAGGAGGAGAGAAGAAACAGTTTCTTAAAAATAGGAAGAAGAATAGAATGCCTTTGTTCTGTTTTGTTTCATTTTTGCTTTTTTTGCCAGTCGTAGGGCTTACACTCAGGGCCTGGGCACTGTTCCTGAGCTTCATTTGCTCAAGGCTAGCACTACCACTTGAGCCACAGCACCACTTCTGGGTTTTTCTGTTTATGTGGTACTGAGCAATCGAACCCAGGGCTTCATGCATGCTAGGTAAGGACTCTACCACTAGGTCATCTTCCCAGCCCGTTCTCTCTGTTTTGGAATGAATCTTATATTTGTCTTTAGCATCTTATAAATATGTTCACAGATATGTAACTTAACTTGCTGTTGCTCTCTTTACCTTTCTAGATTCTTGACTATCAGAATACTACCTTCTTTGGTGGAGACCGTATAACCATGATTGATTACCTCTTCTGGCCCTGGTTTGAGCGGCTGGATGTCTATGGGATTGCTGAGTAAGACATTTGACCATGTGGTTATTGACTAGTTTGAGTGACAATGATTGAAGTATCTTCTGTGCCATGAAACCCCAGTGTGTACATGGTCCAGAATTTATGGGAAAGAAAATTAGGCCTTAAGCTATGTATTAATGCTTCTTTGTTCAAAATACCCATCAAGTTAAATGTTGGTGGCTCACAACTGTAATTCCAGCTACTCCGGAGGCTGAGATCTGAGAATCAGAGTTCAAAGTCAGCCCAGGCATTAAAGTCCCAGAGACACTTAATCTCCAACTAATCACCAGAAAACCAGAAGTGGGGCTGTGTGTGGCTCCAAGTGGTAAAGTACTAGCCTGGAGCAAAAGTACTAGCCTGGAGCAAAAGAGCTCAGGGACAGTGCCCAGGCCCTGAGATTAAGCCTACAACTGAAAAAAAAAAGATTTTGAAATTAATATATGCTTACTGTTCACAATGGCAGCCACCCCTCATGGCGGGGCAGGGACATTTACAGCAGGACACCGCAGTGCTCAGGGGACTCGCTGTGGACTTTCTAATCCCCACTGTACCCATGGCAGGGGATGCACAACCCCAGTGTTTGGAAGTTGGTTCTGAAGATCAGACACCACTTACTAGGACATCTACACTCACTACAAAAACTCTGCTTCCCGATGTAGACCCTGAATTGTAGATTAAGAATCCCCATCATCTGCTCCAGATTCCTACCTGCCACCAGCGGTCACCTGCAGTCCTTATACCTGAAGTCCCTGATCCAACTGTGGATCTGCAGCTCCAATACTCCAAACCTCAATATTGCTTTATCCATTCACACACACACACACACACACACACACACACACACACACACACACACACACACACGCACAGAGCTTGGAGACAACTTGTTTTTAATCTGTCTCAGATCCCTGGAAGTATAATCCGCAAATGACCAGTACTGTTAGCTTTCTGCCAGTAAATAAGGAAGGGCAGATTATCTAATGGCCCAAGCCTCAGATAACACATATTTAATGCTTGAAATACCAGTGACTACAATTTACACATACATACAGCTGTTCCCCAAATAAGTTTCCTCCAGTAAAGTCATGCTCACTTGGTAATTAAGATCACTGTATTTCTCCTGGATAAACCCATTTTGAGTTTCCTGCAGATCTAAAAGGCAGTCAGTATCTGGTTCCATATCCTTTCTTTCATGATATGCTGACGTCTCTGTCTTGTCTTGCAGCTGTGTGAATCACACCCCGTCCCTACGGCTCTGGATAGCCGCCATGAAGCAGGACCCCATCGTTTGTGCTCTACTCGTGGACAAGAACACCTTCCTGGGCTTCTTGAATCTCTATTTCCAAAACAACCCTAATGCCTTTGATTTTGGGCTATTATGAGCCTCATAATCCTCTCTCCCTCCCTACCCCAAACACATCCCAAATTTTCAGCTTGTCATGATTCTGCATCAAGTTATTTGAGGGGTCAGTCTGCCTCTCCTCTGTTTCTTTGAGGTTCTAAATAAAAATGGAAACAGAAAATAGATTGTTAGCCCCTTGCCCGACTCTTATACCCCAGAGCTTCTAGAAAGTGCCCAGTGCTAAAGTCCAAAAGCATTTTGAGAGCTTGGGCCTCCTTGGCCTATGGCCAGATTTGGTCCTCAGATTATTCCTGATGGCAGTGGTGTTGGGGTTTGAGGTCTGCCTGTAAGAGATGTTTGTCGGGGCTGGGAAGGTGGCTCAGTGGTAGAGTGCTTGCCTTGCTGCCTGAGGCCCTGGGTTCGATTCCTCAGCACCACATAAGAAAAAAGCCAGAAGTGGCAGTGTGGCTCAAGTGGTAGAGCACTAGCTTTGAGCTGAAGAGCTGAGGGACAGCGCCCAGGCCCAGAGTTCAGGCCCTACGACTGGACCCAAAGAAGAAAAAAAAAAGAGAGATGTTTGTCACTCTAGATCAGCACCCTCCAAAACAGTCCCTGGTAAGAGGAAAGCTTGGAGGAGGGAGAAGAAAGTAGAAACATCCCAAGCCCAGATACCTTCCTTTTGGCAAAGCAGTGCTGCTGCCCACTTGGGGAGGCCTGAGTGTCATTGCATTGCAAACCTTGGCCAGGCGCCCAGGCGACCCTGAGGGTCTTGTGACTGGAAAGAATTCCAAAGCAGGAAATGAAACACCCATTTATCATCCTGGACTAACTACGTCAGAGTTTCACTGGTGCTGTCAGGGCTCAGGATATCTCACAAAATGTTCTACAGCCAGCATCCTGCCTTTACACACACACACACACACACACACACACACACACACACACAGAGTCACAGTTAAAGGTCACTCTGCTGGACTGGCGTCATGCATCCTTTTAATTCATCTGGGTGGACTGTTGCAAACCAAGCCCCAAGCCAATGGGAGATACAAGAACTATGTGCCACAGAAGCCACTCATCTTTTGAGCATCTTGGTCTAGGTTTTAGACCTGGTGGTTCAGGGCTTGTCTTGCTAGGCTCGGGGTGGGTGCTGTCCTTCAGTGGGCATGAAGACACCAAGAGCCGAGAGTGGCCAGTGAACCAGCAAGGTGCCGTCGCCTCTCTTAGAGACTTTCCCATGCTCTTTTATCTCAGTGACTCAGGACCAGCCTGTGATCCAGTGCCAAGCATCCAGACAGCAGCAGGGTACGATGGTTTGCTTTTTGTTTTTGACCTGTCCATGCCCACTGAAGAACTGCCTGCTGCTGCCTCTGCCTTAGTTCAAACCACACTTCCTTTCTCTGCACATGTCAGCCTGGCCCTGCCATCTGCTGGCTCTGGGTATATTTTGCCCCGTATAAATAGTTACCAGGTGTTACTCTCTGCCAGTTGGACAGAGGCAGGCCTCCTTGGTGAGGTGGTCTGGCCTGGGGGAAGTGCTATGTGATGGACAGTCTGCAGTACCACCTGTTCCCTCCGGATGTGGCGCTCTGCTGCCATGGCAACAATGCAGAGTGGAGTGTGTGAATCAGCGTTCCCCTGGGAGCCGGGCTGGGCAGAAGGGAGTCATCTCCCTCGGCCTCTCCTGGGGCTGAGGGTCAGATCAGCCCTTGCAGGCAAAAGCCTTGCCTTCTAGCCAGGCTTTGCTAGTAAATCCTCCCTGCCATCGCTGCGCTAGAAAATGGCCTATCTCACAAATGAAGGTATTTTATTTTAGAGCTGAGGAAACGGAGTTGTCTTCTACTCTGGTTGAAAGCAGGACTCAGCCTGCTAGAAAAAAACACACGATGAAAAACTTACACTGGAGATCTAAGAGCAGAGATAATACATACAGGTTAAAAAATACAATAGTTGGGGGAGAAGCAGGAAATATATGATCTTGTATCTCATATATAATATATATGTACTGTATGTACTCATACTTGGGCTTGAACTCAGAGCCTTAATGGTCCTTTAGCTTTATTTTTTTATTTTTTGGGGTCCGGTTGTGGGCCTGAACTCTGGGCCTGGGTGCTGTCCCTCAGCTCTTCAGCTCAAGGCTAGCACTCTACCACTTAAGCCACAGCGCCACTTCTGGCTTTTTTTCTTTCTGCGTATGTGGTGCTGAGGAATGGAACCCAGGGCCTCATGCAAGCAAGGCAAGCACTCTACCACTGAGCCACCTTCCCAGCCCGGTCCTTTAGCTTTTATGCTTATTGCTGATGTAATACTCGTCATAGCTCCACTTCCTGCTTTTCAATCTATCATTGGGTGTATTTCTTGTAAGTAGTTTTTGTTTTTTTAGGCCAGGATTTCAAGTGAGAGCTGTGTCTCCTGAGGCCTGGAAAAGAAGTCACAAGTTGAAATCACAGCATTTGAAAGACCTCACTGTACAGATGATGTGAACATCAGAACGGACTGGAGGAGGCCAGGTACTGTTCCCTTCCTTAGAGGTTTTGGAGTAAATCCCAGTCTGGACTGTTGCCAGGTTACATCCTCACAGAACTCGGGTCTGGGAGAGGGGACTACAATGACTGGAATTAGTGGTAGTGGGATGGTGACTAAACATTACTTGAAATTCCTTCCAGCTTGCAACTTCTGGTGTCAGCCAACAGAAGCAGTTGCAGGTGGTAAAGTAGGTTCATCTAATGGTAAGGCATGAGTTGGAGCATCCAAGAAGAGACTGCCTGTATGTGGCTTCTACATCCCTCCTTCCTCTCCGCTGCCTGCCAGTGGGTAGGAGGATAGTCCCTCTCTTGATTTCTCACCTTTAAGCCTCTTCTTTCTACAGTGCCCATGTGTCCTTTGTCAAAGTTACTGGTATAAGATAGAGTGGGACTGCTCTGTCAGGAATCAACCCTGAGCTGGGTGGCTCAGGCCTGTAATCCTAACTACTCAGGAGGCTGAGATCTGAGGATTGAGGTTCAAAGCCAGCCTGGGCAGGAAAGTCTGTGAGACTCTGATCTCCAATTAACCACCAGAAAATTGGAAGTGGCGCTGTGGCCTAAGTGGTAGAGCACTTGCCTTGAGCTGAAATGCTCAGGGACTGCACCCAGGCCCAGAGTTTAAGCCCCAAAACCGACAAAAAAAAAAAAAAAAGAAAAAAAATTACCCCTGGTCCCTTGTAGTTTGTATCAATCTAGTGTTTGTTATCTGAAGTCTTCACAGGCAGCCAAGCAATATAACCTCCATCTCCTCCCTCCCCACACTAAGCACTGTGCCTGCCCAGGAGACCCACCTCCAGCTCTGCTTCATCCCTGACTCCACAGCACTGGGAGTCCATCCTGTAACCAAATGTTGAGTCTTCCCAAACATTTCGATTAGGTCCAGCTTGTTGGAGCTCTTGCATCTCTACAAACACCATTTCCAGCATGTGTTCATCTCCTCTGGAGCAGCCGCCTAGCTTTTGTCAAAATGTTTTTTTTTACTTGCAGCTCCAAATAGATCTTCACCACAACAGTAGTGAAGAACAAGACCGAGGGATGAGACATTCTGGGTTCAAATCCTGTCTCTGCCACTCAAGTAACTTCGCTGGGCAAGCAATATTACCACTATGGGCCTCCGTTTCTCATATGTAACTGTGACTATCTTAACTGGAACTGCTGAAAACGATTCCACACGGCTGTTACAGAATGACCAGGTCATCCTGTTGGCCTTAATACTTGAGTGCATGCTCAGCACATGACAACATCAGCATGGTAGGCAATGATGATCAGTTATCAATGATTACTGACTGTTGTGCAATCTGTTAATGAATGATCAAACTTGAACTCGGTGTCCATGCTCCCATCACCTTGTAGAATGAGATGACTCCAATTTCACTGGCTTCATTCATGGTTTGAGCTGTTTTCTGATTATTTCAGATGTTCGGATTTAACCTCAATCATTTGTGTCTTCAGAAGTTAGAATTATCCACATGCCTCAACCATCACCTCTCACTCTAAAGCCTAGTTTACTACTAGAATTCTGAAGCCTGGTTGATGATAAATTACCCTCTCCCACGTTACAAAGGAGTGTTCAGGATCTTCTTTCTCCACCTCCTCTGAACAGAGGAAATGTCTCAAGGACACTTGTCAATGCACAATTAAGGAAGCCTTTATTCAGGACCATCCTGATAGGTGTAGAGATTACAGCAGTGAGATTTTGCAGTGGGGGGGGGGGGGAAAGATTGGACTCAATGCCAGCATAACCTGGGCAAGTAGGAAATTTAAGGCTTAGGAGTAGATCTGGGTGGTGGGGGTCAGTGGATGACAGATATTAAGAGGGATAGGGGAGGAATTACACTGATCATGAACAGGAACTGTGGGATACTCTGTGTTACTTCTTCTCACAAATCCACCCTGACCACAAACCTTCTTAGACCAGGGTCCTTAGTCCACTTGTGCCCTGGCACACAGCCTCCCTCTCAGCGGGCACTATTGTTAGTTCCCTACCATAGGAATAAGCAGTGAAGAACTATTTCTAGGCCTGTCCTGGGGACTAGGAGATCAAAGCAGCAGATCAGAGGTCAGCTTAGTGAGAATAATGCCCCCAGGGCTACACCTCGCCTCCTTCTCAGCCCCACCTGACTTGACTGGGGCATGAAGAGGAAGAACTGCTAAGAGGTAACACCCTTTGCTAAATCTGGGTTTAAAACCCCGATGTGCTCAGGGGCATGGAAATCTGTGTGCCCGTGTATGTACACACAAGTGCTTGCACGTTTCTGTGCAATTTTGCCATAAAAGGCAGGTCAATGGCCACTTATTTGCTAAACAGAAGGGCCTTCCTTGGGGGCTTCAGTAGAGATTCTGTCCCAGAAAGCCTGAAGACAGCAGGGAGGTAGAAACTGGTGGTGGATCCAGGGATATATCCTCCTCCAGTGAGGACCTAGCGCAGAGTAGGGGTCTGGTCTCACTGGAGAGATAGGGGACACGTTCTGCTTGGGCTGAAGTTGTGGGGGGGCAAGAAAAGAGGTAGACGTGTGGGAGGGGCTGGAGAGCACTGCTGACACCCCCTGGGGGAGCCAGAAAGTAGGAATGGAGGAATCAGGAACTGTCCTCTAAGTGACCAGACAACGATGGCTGCTGATTTTGTGGCTGTTGAGCTGTGCATAGCACACGGCTTTCCCTTAATCTTAGTAGCAGCATAACCTGGGCCTGACAGTCAAGGAAACAGAGGCCTACAGAAATGCTTGAGAATTGCTGTACTAGGATGGTACATGGCTGGGTCTGAACAGAGTCCCAGCTATTAGTAAATAGGGTGTTGGCACCTATGTGGAGCCTGTCTCACTGGGAGACCAGGGTACCTAATGGGCATCCTGAGTGGTGCATGAAGGTAGGAACCTCTGTTCTGTCTTGAAGCTCTTTGGGTCATTAACGCTCAGCCTGCTGGCCTCAATGAGTGGTGACCTGTTGTCTCATGCTGGTTGCTTGGGCTTCCAGCTCTCAGCAGGGCTGGAGCTGAATCTGGTTCTCCTCAGCATCTGGGGTGACTGGCTTGATCCTGATTCCTGGGGTGGGGGGTCTGAGGGAATATATAGACGACTCATTTGTGCTCTTTGCTGTGGGATCCTGGGGCTGCTGCAGCCTCCAGACCCCTAGAGTCTGCATGAGTCTTGTCTTTTGGAAGCTATCCATGGTCACGGTCAGCTGTCCAGCAGCACTGGACCTCATCACACCCCAGAAGGCAGGCATACAGTGAGGCTGTGGGGGCAGTCATCTCTGTCCCTCGGGGGATTCAGCCAGGCGTGGCTGGTAGAGAGGAAACAGGAAGTGGGTCTTTGCTTTCTATTTCTATTTAAATGCAGTTACCCTAAGAGAAACTAAAAATACCCCTGGCACTGAGGTCAGGAACAGATGGGACCAAACTCCTTCCCTCTCTTCCCATTCAAACTAGGGTTTGAACTCAGGGGTTCATAACTGCCAAGCAGGTGCTCTACCACTTAAGACCTTTTAGCCTTTGGGGTTTGGTTATTTTTGAGATAAAGGCTTGATTTTTGCTCAAGCCAGTTTGGCCAGTGATGCCATCTATGCTTCCCATGTAGCCAGAAGGGCAGTTGAACACCACCATGCCCAGGCTTTTCTGTTGAGATGGGGGTCTTAGCAAGCTTTTGTAAAAAAGCTGGCTGATGTGGAATATCAACTCTCCAGATTTCAGTCTCCTGGGTAGCTAAGGACTGCAGTCACTTCACACTTCTGAGGCCTACCTTTTCTCATGGAGCAAAAGGGAAACATCTTTGAACACCGCTGAAGTGTACGTGGTTCTCTCGTGCTGGGAGATAATTTGTTGCTGACAGTTTTATTTTCAGGTTTCTTTGTCCGGCTGGAGAAGAATATCAGAAGGATGGCAAAAGCTATTTCCACTTATAAAGCCAGGCCCACAGGCCAGAAGGAAATAAACTAGTGCAGGCTAAGATAAATGGAGTACAAGCATTTGAAACACACCGGTAACTGGGTCAATTTGCTTTTCTTTGGAGAGGTGCCCTTGTTTTTTTTTTAAACTTGGGAACATTTGCTCTTGCTTGGCTTTTTCTGCTCAAGGCTGGTACCCTACCACTGATGTCACGTGATCACTTCCAGCTTTTTCCTAGTTAACTGGGGACAGGATTCTCTGGGATTTGTCAGCCCAGCGGATGGATGCTCAAATCTCAGCCAGATCTCCAGTAGCTAGGATTACGGGTGTGAGCCACCTGCCTGCAGCTTGGAAAGGAACTTTGCTTACTCAAAAGGAGAATGAAGGGATTAGAGCTCAAACTGAAAGCCCATCTGTCTGTTTCCCCTAGGCTGGCCTCAAAAACCATACTCTTGCACTTACCACCCCCGAGGAGCCAACTTATTCTATAGCCACTAGGTCCCAGAACTTGGTGACAGGGCCCTTGGCTTATGCTTTTGTTCTCACACTGCACTGATCCAGGTGGAGCACATCTGTCCCTCACTGCAGGTTAACTGCACTTTCCTTACCCTTCTGTCATGATGACTGAATAGATCTGGCAATTGTTCCTTTCTATGGGACAATGCTTGGTGATGAATCCACATATTGCAAGTTGCTACGAGCCAAATATAGTTCTGAATATAGTGACTGTGAAGAAAGGCTTGTTTCAAAACAGGTTTAGTGCTCAGAGACGCTCATTCTGGAGTTGTTTATAGCGTGTTTGTGTGCACACGCACACGGAGACAACTTGAGTGTTCTTTGGGAGGGGAAGATGAGCAAATTGGGGCACATTTATACAAGATAGTAAGATAGTAAGAGGTTATTTTAAGGAATAAGGTAGAACTACGTGTTGGAAAAGATGTGCAAGAAAAGTTAGAAGCCATGAGGCCATTCATACACAAAAGAACAAGAGTGGGGGAGGGAGGAAAACACAAACATGCTGCACATAGCTAGGAAAATTCTAGAATACACAGTGCTGGTTAGTTCACTCTGGGGAGTATACTTGAAAGACGGGGGTGGAAAGCTTTTGAGCTGTTGGAGTCAGGGTTAAATTTTTTTTCTTTAGTATGACTGTATTGCTTTCTCACACACACACACACACACACACACAGAGTAAAGGAACAAGCTATCTTTAGACAGCAATGAGAAAGGTTAACTGGAGGGCAGCGTGAAGGGAGATGGGGCCCAAGCAAAGGCAGTGGCTCTTGGTTCTCTGTATGGGTCTCCCAGCTGGTCAGACCAAACCATCCATTGACTGGATGGGACATGGGATGGTTCTGAATCACAGCCTTGGAGAGACTGCTCACAAACAGCCTCCACCAACCCTACTCTGGATGGCCACAGCCTCCCAGCACCTCATGTGACACTCATTGTGTGTAAAATCACTCTATAGCTCTGGGGTGATTGGAGTTACTCAAGAATTGCTCCCTGGCTCCTACCGTTGGACTACCGTTGTAGTCCAAATTCACCTCAGATTAGAGTCCAAAGTTTTCTGGGTTCAGTCCACTTCACATTCTCAACCTATTTAGTTTGATTTGCCAACATCTATCTCCTAACTCCACCTGGCTGGAATCTTGACTGCTACTTCTGCCTGCATGATCTTAACCAAGGACCTCAGTTTCCTCATCTGGAAAACGGAGGAGACAGTACCAGCAGCCTCATCTCAACTGACATGGGCATTACTCCCTGGACACAGGTGGCCTGCCCACTGTCATCCACTGTCTGGCTGCAGTGTTTTCTCCGGCTCACTGACCTGGGTCTGCGATGGAGGTCTCCAGATGATGAACTGGCACGGCTAGCTGGCTCTGAGTTCTCAGTTGGGTGGTACTTCAGCATGGTCCTGTATGGAGTTGGGGGCCTGGTGGGAGGAGCTCAGCTCACTTGGGGGTATGCTCTTGAAAGGGATTAAAGTAGTTCCCCGGGGACTTTGGTTAGTTCTCACCAAGACTGTTATAAAAGCCACATCATGGCCGCACCTGGCTCTCTACTATGAGTGCTTGCTCTTCACAAGTTCCCATTATCTTCTGCCCTCACCTGGGGTCCAATAAACAGGACCATCTCATCTTCAACTTGGAGCCTCCCATACTATGAGCTAAGTAAACCTCTTCCTAAGCAGCCCCTTGGGTATTACCAGAAGCATGAAGAGGAGTGGGGCTGGGTTTTTTGAGGGTCCCCTCCCCTAAGCTGACTAGTTGCTGACTCCATTCAGTTTGTTTGTTCCTTATCAAGAGGTGCAGAAACAGTGTCCTGGAATTCTCTTTGGGAAGGGAGAATCTTGAGGGAAAGAGCACAGGGAGTGTCTCCGTGGAAAGCCCATCCATCTAGAGGACTACAGCTCCTCTAGTGCCTCTTTCCTGTTATTTCCTATGTCTGTGTCTGATTTTACACATAGCAGCTTTGTGCTGGAATCCTTCCTACAGCTGCTTTCAAAGGACTTTTCTGGAACTCTGTGGGCAGCACAGAGAAGCTGCCTCAAAGGCAGATATATTCCATGTTATGTCTTCAAGTTTCCTGAAGGTGTTAGAATAAAAGGGGAGTGAATGCTTCTGCCTGAGGAAATCTATCTCTGTCCCCAACTTTGCCCTGGGAACCCCACAGATTTCCTGAAGTTCAACACAAACACTGGGTCCTGTTTCTACTCCTTGTGAGAATTTAATTCTTCCTTTAGTATAAATAAGGCAGCATGAAACACCAAGAGCCCCGCTGTTTGCTGCTTCAGAAGCAGCTTTGGTTCCAAACAGGACCTTGTGATCCCACTGAGTTCTGTATTTTTCCAGAAAACTTCCTCCTGGAAGCAATGGGGAGTGGATGGAGATCCAGGCTTGAGGCTTGGCTTCTGAGAGGCCGCTGCTTGTTTGCTGGTCTCTCCTTTCAAAACACAACAGGATATGGTTGACGGATGATGAGGGGAAAGGCACAGACAATAAATAAGGATATCTGCCATGATTGTGGAACGGGTCCCTGTGGGATGAGTGGCTCAGGGCTGCTGTGAGAGCCACCCTTGAGCAGCGAGCCTGGGAGAGGCCAGCCACGCATGCTCAGTCGAACTTAATTCCTGCATGCCCAGGGAACTTCCCACAGGCTTCATTGCCCTGATGCAAGCTGAGCCCCTCCACCATGAATTAAACCTGGGTAATTTCCTGCAGCCAGGTGAGGGCATGCCGGGGCTGCTAGGAAAGGAGGCCCCATCTTTAGGTGAGATCAGCAACCCTCCCTCCTCCTTGACACGTGACAAAGGACCGTGAGGAGATGCTGAGGAAATCCCAAAGGGCCAGTGAAACCCAAGTGGAGGAGAAGAGGCTCCTGGACCTCTGATTCTGGCCTGAAGCAGCTTTGGTGCCTGCCTGAGGCCCACGGGCTCCAGCAGTGCAGAGATGGCCTCAGTGCTGGGGCTGCATCCACAGGATGCACCTGATCCCTGGTCATCCCAGCCTGTACCCAGCTCTTTAGGCTTGGGTCATCCTTATGAGTACTAAGGCTCCCCAGTAAAGGGAAGGCTGTGTGCAGTGAACACAGTGAGTGAGGAAAGGGATGGGGAGGGCACAGCAGCTCCCCTTGCCCCAGAACTGTGTCCCAAGGACAACTCAAGGACACTGTAGTATTCACCTCAGGTTGGCTCTGAACTGAGTCAGGCTGCAACCAAGACCCCAGCATGCCTGGACTCAGCCTCTGTCCTTTGCCCCAGTCACCCTGTGCCTCTCTTTCTCTAGATAGGCCTCCACCTTTGGCATTTGCCTCCCCACACCATGCAAAGATCAGAGACCAGCTGTGGAGAGAACAGCGCGGTGTCAGTGGTTGAGTCTACTCTTAGCTTGGTGAATGGCAGCCACAGTGCTGGAACATGGCGCACTGGTGTACCTGACTGAGAAGTGTGGCCAGAAACACCACCAAGTACCCATTTCTGTGTAACAGGAGACACCAGCCATCTGGGGCCTAGAATCTCTCCCAGTTCTGCTGTCCAATAGTATGAAAAGCGTGGGACTCCCTGTCTGGCAGGGTATAAGGCCATGAATTGTAACTCCTGTCCCTACCAGTGCTTTGCAACTAGGTTGCTGGATCTTAACCTGAAAGCATTAACCTGAAAGCATTCTTAACCTGAAAGCATTCCTACAATCCTCTGTGGACAGGACAAACATAGATCGGACCTGGGATGCAAAACAGATTACACTCAAATCAGTATTTTCATTCTCTCCAACCCCGCGTCCAATAAGAATGTCCAGTGCCATTTGTCTTGGCCCCTCCTGGTGATCCAAAAATAAGCTGCAAAAGGATCTATCCGCAGACCCAAGCAGCAGCTTTACCAACAGGCATCCATGGCAGGAAAGCAAACCAGAGTCCAGTTGATATTCTGTTTCCTCCACTCTGTAGGACCTGGCTTCCTGGCAGGCTGAGCTCTAGCTCCCTTCCAAGCTGCTGCGTTCCCATTCTGGGGATGCAGAACGCCAGTGATGCGTCCATGTGGGATGCTCTCCCTTCTGGCCTTCAAATCCCATGCGCTCTATGGGACGGCAGCTTTAGGGGGCAGGCCGGCGTGGTCATTGGGGACGTGGAGGGAATACTCGCTGATGAGCGTCGGGGCGTTCTTGAGCATCTCATAGAAGGAGTCCAGTGTGGTGCGGTAGAGACTTCGCTGCAGGACAAAGGGCCGGAAGAGGTTGAGGGGCTCGGCTTTGCGCACAGCCTCGGGGAGTCCCATGGCCTCGGGTACCTTACGGTTGCCCACGAAGAAGTGATGGAGCTTCTTCTCCAGGAGGCTCTTCTCCAGGAAGCACAGCAGGTCGTGCAGGCGTGCATCGAGCTGGGAGGTCTTCCAGTCATTGGCTCTCCGGGAAAGCAAGAGGTGCAGCAGTGCGGTCTTCAGGTGGTAGTTGTTCAACCCATTGGGGCCCGTCAGGCAGCTCTGCTTGGAGAGCAGGAAAGAGGCGATCTGCAAGCAGCTGAGGTGGCAGGCCCCCTCGGGCAGTGTCTTCGCTGTCATCCGCAGGAAGTGTCGCTCGTAAACAGCGAAGGACAGGAGCCATTCAGTGCTGGAGATGGGGATCCTACCGCAAGGTTCCCTGGGAAGGTGGGACACAAAGTACAAGTCCGAGTCATCGCACTGGATCACAGGAGTCAAGGTGAAGGGCATGAACTTCCCTGAGCGGAACTTGATTTTGAGAGATCCTGGGGTGTTGAGCTGACCAAAGGCGAGATCGAACTCGTACTTGTGGGCGATGCAGTGCCAGGCTTTGGTGAGGGCTTTCTGGAACCACTTCATGACCTGCATGGTGTCGAGGTAGGGACACTCTTTGGCACACAGTAGGTCTTCCACCTCACCACTGGGCCGGACCCCACTCTTCTTGCTGTGGAGGAGACACAGCATGTCTTCTCCAAGCTTGGTCTTGCCACAGATACAGCCTGGAGGGTCTCCGTCAGCCCGGCCCACCTTGATCTGCCCATAACCCTGGCGGTCCAGGGGCACCGAGCGGTTGGAGCACCAGAGTTCTGGATAGAAGCAATAGGGCTCTGGCGGCGTGAAGGGTACAAACAGGTGGCACATCAGGGGCCTGTCCACCTGCCAGTTCTCATACATGCTGTCCACACCGATGAAGTCTTCCAGCTCCATGTCGGTGTCCCGATTACAGAGGCTCCTCAGGGCTTCCAGGAGGTCATCCACAAAACCTTCCACAAATTCCCGGGTTCGGGCGACATCAGCCGTGGAGGCCCGAATACACCGCTCATAAAAGTGGCCCAGAGTAGCCTTATCGGGCAAAGTGAGACCCTGCAGTGGGGTACCACCCAGGCCGGGGAGCTCATCCTCATCGCTGGCCAGGCACTCCGATGAGGGCCCGTCCTGGTGGTCCTGCCTCCACACCTCGATGATCAGGAAGAGAATCATACAGAGAGTGCTCCAGAGGTCCCAGGCTGAGTGGGCCTCGGGTGGCTGCTGACCCTCCTCCACCATCTGCTCCAGGGCCTCCTTCTCAGCCACCAACCGGGCCACCTCCTCCTCTAGGCGGAGCTGCTCTAGTTGTAGCTTCTCATGGTGTTCCTGCATCTTACGGATGATCTCCTCTTCGTTCTCAGGGACGGTGGCATTCTCCCGGGGGAAGAGCAGTGGGTGGTTGATGATGGCTGTCACCACCACCAAACACACCCGGAAGAGCCCCATAGCCATGGCAGGAACTTTTCTGAGAGAGAGAGAGAAAGAGAGAGATGCTGGTCACATCCGTGCTTCCCTCAAGCCCACTTTTCCCTGGACCCTTGCACCAATCTTTGCTCCACAAAAGCAATGACTGCCTTGTTCTTCTCCCAGCCAACCCTGTTGACCCCTGTTCACCCCTTCTCCTGCTTCAGTCTAGCCTCAGAGCAAGAACTCAAGGTCTGCATCTGTGCTGGACATGGGGACAAGCACTCCACGGATGCTGGGAGCCAACCTTTTCTTCCTCCAGGTTCTTATTTTCAGCATGTAGGGTAATACTAGACCTAGCTTTAAGGGTAATACTGAACACAGACTCAAAACAATCAGACTACTGTATTCCTCACAGCAACTGGTTCTGTGATGAACATATAACCTAATGTGAGCCAATAGGAGACAGATGTAGGATTTGCTAGGGCCAATGGGAAGAAAGACTCAGCCTGTTCTTAGGATTGTCAGACAATAGGACCTGCCTTGCTGGTGGCTCTCTAGCTGTGTGGGAGAGAAGTCTGCCTGAGAAAGAGGCCAGCACACAAGAAAGTAGAATTCTAGATCTTCTGTGCATGAAGCCATTACTTTTGGGCTTTTGAAGCTATCTGAGTAAAGTTCTTTTTCTGTAAGCTCTATCACTCAAAATCAAATTAGCTGTGAATCCCCTTCTACTTCCATTGAATTCTGCCCAGTCAACATGTCTTTCTTTGATAGAGAAGTGGTAGGTAAGAATGAAAGGTTATAGGTAGGTAATAGTGGCTCATAACTGTAATCCCAGACACTCAGTGGGCGGAGATTGGGAGGATCATGGTTCAAGGCCAGCCCAAGAGAAAAAGTTAGCAAGATGTCATCTTAATGAATAAGTTGGGCATAGTGGTACTTGTCTTTGATCACATTTTCTTGGGAGGCTAGAAGACAGAAGGCTCTCAGTCTAAGGTCTACCCTGGACAAAAATCTTGAGATGGTACCTGAAAAATAACCGAAACAAGAAAGGGCTGGGGGGTGAGTCTCAAATGGTAGAAAGTACTAGCAAGTGCAAGGCTCTGAGTTCACACTCCCAATGCAGAGATGAGGGGGAAGGGCGGAGAAAAAGAGGTTCTGAAGCTAACTCTGAGCCTCTCTGAGCTCAGGTTTCCAGACAGGAGAGGAGAGCCATGCATTTCACAGGGTGGTGGTGGTGCAAGCACTAACTTCTCACCAGGCATCAGAACTTCAACTCTGACATTCTGCTTTGAGGCAGAATGACTCCAGCTGGCCTTAAACTTGGGATCCTCCCACTTTAGCCTCTCGAGTGCTGAGATTACAGGTACACATCACCATGCCTAGCATCTGACTTCTTAATCGTGAACCGAAGAACTCTATTTCTTCAAAAACAAATGAATTTTTAGGCCTCAAGTGACTTTTGAGGGAACACTTTTGCAATTCAAACGATGGCGTCCCCAGACCACTGGCTGTAGAAGTTCCTGAAAGTTTGGTAGAAATGCAGAATTTTGAACACACCCCTGACCTACTCAGTCAGAACCTGCATTTTAATACCACCCACCTTCAATGTCTTATATATTACAAATAGTTTTCTCAACCTCACCTATGAGTTTCATTCACGTTACCTGAGGTCAACTGTGGTCTGAAAAGTATTAACTTAAACTTTTCAGGAGTAAATTGGAAGTGTTAAATTGTCACTACTCTGAGTAGTATATTGAAGTCTCACACTCTTCTAGTCCTTCCTGTCTGGGACATGAACCACACATCTATCTGTCATCATATCTGCCATGTGTATGGCTCCTCTCCCATTAGTCCCTTAGTAGCCAGCTTGGTTATCAGATTGACTGTCACAACATCACAGTGCTTGTGGTCAGATCCTACTTATTTTGTTTAATTATAGCCCTAAAGTGCAAAACAGTGGTGTTGGCAGCTTGGATTTGCCAACATGAAGCAATAAAGTGCTTCCTGGATAGGAAAAGATAAATGTCTTTTCATTCATTCATTCAGTGTGTGTGTGTGTGTGTGTGTGTGTGTGTGTGTGTGTGTGTGTGTGTGTGTGTGTGTG